CAGGCTGGACCCCTGAGAAGGGGCTTCCCACTTCCCTTCCCAAAGGAGTGGAGGAGACGCTGGTCCCTCTCAGCCGTCCAGGGCTGGTGGAAAAGCTGTCCTCCACAGAGTGACCAGGCACTCACACGCTTTCTGTTTTTGCTGTTCTGCCATCCTCTGGGATGTTGTCCTTGTCAGTATCCCATCTATGGGAAAGAGGTGACATAGAAGTCATCCCATTGGCTGACCTTGGTCACATGATGATACCCAACTGCAAAGAAGCCTGGGAAATGTAGTCTGATTGTCAGCCATGTGCAGGGGCAGGGGGAACTTAAAGGGAGAAGTCATCTAACACGGAAAGGAAAAAGAAAAAAAAAAAACAGAAAAGAAAGAAAAAACTGGCAGTTTCTGCCACAGAACACAAGATACCTCAGGAGTTCCATAGGTTTTGACTTAGTGAAATTTTCAACTTTCCATGAGTGCATGGGAGGCAATCCCAGGGTGAGTCAGGAGCATCTCTATTATGAAGATACGGGAACTGAGTTACAAGAAGATAAGGTAACTTGCCTGACCTCCCACAACTAGCAAGTGCTGGATTGAATTTAAGTCCTGGTCTCTCTTGAGTCCTCACTACTAACAACTACACTACAGGGCTGTCTGTGTCCATTACAAGCTTGTTTCTTTTTCTTTTTTTTTTTTTTGCAGGGTGGGGGTGCCAGAGATTGAACTCAGGGGCACTCAACCACTGAGCCACACCCCCAGCCCTATTTGGCATTTTATTTAGAGTCAGGGTCTCACTGAGTTGCTTAGTGCCTCGCTTTTGCTGAGACTGGCTTTGAACTCGTGACCCTCCTGCCTCAGCCTCCTGAGCTTCTGGGATGACAGGCGTGTGCCACTGCGCCCAGCTCCATTACAAGCTTTCTGATGTGACCATCTCTGACCCCTCTCAGGATGCTGACCCTCAAAGCCACAGCTCAGGTCCTCATCCTGGGCTGCACGTGGTGTCTGGGCGTCCTGCAGGTGGGTCCCGCTGGCCAGGTCCTGGCGTATCTCTTCACCATCATCAACAGCCTGCAGGGCTTTTTCATCTTCCTGGTCTACTGTCTGCTCAGCCAACAGGTAAACGCTGAGCCCTTTCTCTGTTGTTTTAAAACTGTGTTTTAAACTTTGGAGGCATTTACGTTCCAGGTCTTTAAATGTTCACCAATCTGTCATCAATATGTGAACACACCCTGTCGTTTATCTACTTTAAAGTGCTCTTGAAGGCAGACATAGAAAATAGATGAGTTACTGAGTGGGCTGAAGAGACTGGGGGAGAGGATAGGAGGGGTGGAGGAGGAACAGTGGTTCTGGAGTTTGTTTCTTGGATGATGATAACGGTCTACACATGTTTAAGGTGATGGCCACAGAACCCTAGGAACATCCTAAAGCCATGGGGTTGAACTCTTTAAATGGATGGGTTGTGTAATAGGCGGATTCTATCTGGATGGGTTGTGTAATAGGCGAATTCTATCTCAGAAAAGCTAATAACAAAAGCAAGATGTTATTGATTATAAGATCCCCTGATTTGTTAGTGGCTTTCAGAAAGTAGACGGTTGCTATATCAGGGAAGGAGGTTTTCCTCCAGTTTTCACACTTACGCTCATAACAGGCTACGTCAAAAATCTCAGTGGCATGAACACGAGAACTTCCTTCTCCTCCATAGGTCTGCAGGTGGGGTGGGGTTCAGTGATCCCTGCTGGGCTCGGCTTGGCTTGGTTCCTGGAGGCAAATCAGATTCTTATCTGCTCCTTGGACTCATCCTGAGGCTTTGGCAGAACTGGGAGCAGTTCTTCGGCATGTTTTTCTCATAACAATGGCAAAATTACAAAGAGGCCAGGGGTACCCTGCAGGGCCGTTTTAAGCCTGTGACTCTGCTCAGGTCACCTCCGCTGATGTGCCACTGGACAAAGTGCGTCAGGTGGCCAGGCCCAAAGCTAACGGGGAAACAATGCTTCACCCACCCCGAGGCTGAGATAGGGTGTACTGCTTCTAACTAGGAGTGAATAAAGCAACCTGCCACACCACTTGACACCAATTCTTCAGCCAATTTAACCAAGCCACGCTGATCTCAGGAAGGATCAGCCAAACCCCAAAGACCTGCAGACTTGAGAGTGAGAAAAGTAAATATTTGTTTAAGCCACTGAGGTTTCTTGAAATTGTTTGTTATTTAGCATTAGCTGACTATTACAAGTGGGAAAGCTGGAAAAAAAAATACACGGTATAGTCTCCATGTTAGCCCACTGACAGAATTCTACATGGAACACTCATTCTATTTTATGGAGCTCAGTGTCATCTGATTTCAGAATTGGAAATAGAGCCAATTGGTATCTTTAAACCCAATTGCTGTCGTTTAACCTTTGATGCTAATCCAAATAAAGATGAGCTGTATGTGCAAAACAAACACCAGATTTTAAAACTTTTGTACAAAAAAAAAAGGAAGGTCCTCCCTCTCTTCCTCGGTCCTCCCACTTCCTCACGCTGAACACATAATCAAACTGGAATGGAAAAATAGCTCCTCAGGGATAAAGAAACTGAGCTGTCCAGAGAGCAGACATTTCCTGGGTTAGAACATCCACACGTTACTAATTGTCCAGGCACAAGAATATTTTGTGGCTTGTAGGACACTGAAAATACTTTAGTGAAGAAAGCAAACTTCAGAGCATTACTTCAGAGGGCCCCATTTTATGTTCATCTAACCATATAAACACTCACTGTTTGTGTTGTTTTTGGGCACTCACTTGTGTGTTTAGGGCGTATTAAAAGGGACAGTCGGCAATGTCTGGAGACGTGTCCCACTGTCACAACTAGGAGTGGGTTGCTAGGGGCATGTAGTGGGTGGAGGCCAGGGATGCTGTCCGCACCCTCCAGTGCACAGGACTGTCCCCACCAGAAAGCACAATCCAACTCAAGATCTCCACGGTGCCGCGGTTGGGAAGCCTTGTGTGGCAGACGCTGTCAGTGGCCCTCCCACAGCCCTTTGTTCCTCTCACCACGTGCCTGAGGTTTCCTGTTACAACATTTATGACTTGGAGCCTGTGGGCTTCTTACTGCCCAGGAGGTGTGAGTGGCCCAAGCCTGGGACAAGGTGGCGGTACCAGAGAGCAACACGGGCGCTTGAAAGCAGCCCTCGGCCAGTGACTGAACAGAGCTGGTGGATACACACCCCAGCTCCCTCCCCTTAGGTGCCCTGACTCTGGATTAGGTCACATGTCACCTGGGGCTGCCCAAGGGAGCTGAGCCCCAGTGGAAACTTCCTGGATGATGCATCCTAGGGACCACCCCTCAAATAAACTCCTTACACTTAAACTTTTGTTCCAAGTTCTAAATTCCTGGAGTAACCCAAATAAGAAAGATGGTTTCTGAAATATGAAATTTTATTTATTGTAGTAAAATATGCACCACGTAAAATTACCACTTAAATAAATGTTTTGAGATAGGGTCTCACCATGTTTCCCAAACTGGCCTCAAATTCCTGAGCTCAGGTGATCCTCCTGCCCCAGCCTCCTGAGTAGCTGGGACTACAGGTATGTGCAACACCATGTGT